TTTTCTTTTCTTTTTTCATTTGGTGGGTTCGAATCCCGTCTTATCCACATAAAATTTTTCTTTTTTTTTATGATCCATTTTTTATGATATTTAAATCTTCAACAATTGAGGCAATCCGTTTAAGTGGAAAAAATTTATTCCTATTCGGTTGTTTATAAGCCTGTATAAGTTCGATCAGATGTTATCAGTCATATAAGCAATATCGATCCGCGAAAAGTAGACCTATGCTTTCCTATCTTTCATGACAAAGTTTACTGACAAGAACATTTACTGCACTTGGATCATCATATGTCCGCAAAGGACTAGTGGATGGTGCCGTGAAGACTTCTGGGTACTATTGCACTATTTTGGTGATTCTGACAGAGAACGATAGAATAGTTGATCTTGTTGCGTCATGGCGCAAGATCAAATTCACAAGTAGTGTGACATGCATAACGCAAAACTGATTATTTTATTGTCTAAAAAAGGCAGAACCTGCAAATATTTTAATGTCATGTAGAGAACACCTTAACAGAGAAGATCGTCTTAAACAAGTTAAACGAAATCATTCTTTTCTTAGAAATATTCCATTATCTTTTGACTAACGTTGCAACGAGGCCTCTGTGCATGATACAGGCAACCCAGTACGCTTCTAGGGCGTCTTGTTTATACACACCATGAATGGCCTACAATTTTTTGCTAAATGAAAAATGTAATTCTCTAATTCTATGTGATGCTTGGTTGCAACGAATACAGAACTCTGCAGCTCGTATTGTCACCTTCACTAAGAAATTCGATCATATCACTCCTGTGCTGGTTGATCTTCACTGGTTACCTGTTCACTACCGAGTTATTTTTAAGCTGCTGCTGTTAACTTACAAGGCCTTGAATGGCCTTGCTCCTTCATATTTGTCTGATCTTTTGACCTATCGCTCCTACAGTTATTCTCTACGCTCTGTCTCTAATAAACTCCTTGTTGAGCCTAAAGCTAGGCTTAATACTTATGGTTTCAGATCCTTCTCCTTTTCTGCTCCWAGACTGTGGAATAGGCTTCCCTTAGAGATTCGTTTAAGTTCAACAGTTGCTAGTTTTAAAAATAGACTTAAGACACATTTATTTTCTCTTTTTCTTAATAAGAAGAAGTATATTTAAAGACTACGTGACTTAGATTTGTTTTATATATTGCAATTATTAATTAGTTTTATCTTTTAAATATTTACATTTTATTCATAATCAATAGGTAAGCATTTTGTAACTATTGTAAATATTCTATTGTAATTTTTTTGTGAAGCGCCTTGGACAATTTTGGAGATGAGCGCTATACAAATAAATTATATATTATATATAATTATATTATATTATATATTATTATTATGCTTTGTTTTAGAATTTTCTTGAAATAAAACTTTGTTTGACGTGACGTTATAATTATAGCGCTACTTTGGCAGCGCCATGTGAAATTGAGGGGAGATCGGGAAAATTTTGGTAGGAAAAAGGAGGGGATGCACAATTTCTGGAAGAAGCTACAAGCCTTGCTTAGGGGGGATCGGATTTATTTGCATGACTTTAAGGGGGGTGTTAAGAATTATTCTGGACACATTTCAAATTTTCACCTGCCCCCCCACCTCCCTCCCTCTGCCATACATTATGAACGCAGCCTAATGTAGCCACAGAGACTGCAAATACGACAAAAAAATCTGAAAAAGATTTCGTTTTATTCCTCTCTGTATAGCTCTCTGACCAACTCAAGTTTTGGCAGTAAAACTGTAGCCTTTCACTTAGTTGCGTAGCAGGAAACCCATCATCAAAGATGTGTCCTCCAATGTTAATGGTTGAATAGTAATGAAGGTTTATCGTCTTAGTACCTTGTCGGGGGGAAAGCGATGGCCGTAGCAATTATCACCACAAGGTGTACACGATAAATACATTATTAATGCTGTGTGAAAATAATATAATCAACGCAAAGCAAAAAGCACCAAAAATAAGAGTTGAAAGTATGATTAAATGTGAAGAGATTCTCTTGAAAAGTAGGCTTTTCCTCCCTAATGATCGATGATTAACTGTGAAAACTTTGTCGTTTTTTACGTTTAATAAATGAAACAACTATGTTGGAGTGTGTTTAACGTTTTTTGGCTTCCCGGGAGATAAATTCGCAGGTAGTAAAGTTTACGCTAGGCAATTATTGATTGCGTTGATGCATTTTTTATGCGCTGGATTTGAATAACCAAACTGAAAAAATATCCCTTGAAACGTAGCTTTTAATTGCTTTCTAGGATTGTTTGGAATAGGAAAAAACCCGAAGCATTTATAAACTGGAAAAATTGAAAGAAAAACGGCTGTTAGTGGTTTTGTTATTGCGTCCGAGTTTGTAGTATTGCTTACGCTAGCTTCACCAACGAAATAAAAGTAATTTGATACAAATAAGTGGCAACTTTCTTTTATGTTTTATTTTTCTATAATGGCAAAATATAAAAGGAGTAAGAGTTCTTTGACTACGAATAAAATATAATATCTGTATACTTCTTGGCGCTGTTTTTTGGCATAAAGGATCAATTCTTTTTCTCCACAATGAACTAGCGGGCTCACCAATATTATGAATAATTTGTGCGGGTCGTGTTTTCAAACAAGGTTACTGGAATGTTTGCGGGAAACATGTTTTTGTGTTGTTTGGTCAAGATTTTTGACAGCATTGCAAAATATTTATACCAAACGACGAGAAAAAGTCATAAAAAAGTAATAACATAAGTTTGATGACTTTCTCAGAGCCATCCAAAAAAAATAAGTAGTATTTCGCTTTGTTGTAAACAACCTTGATAATAAATTCTCTCAGGAGCGAACTTCTTCCTAGAAACGGAAAACGTCTTCCATGCTTGCTACACTGATGTCTTCTTAATTGTTTTAGAAATATTTTCACAAAAAGTTCTTACCTTGAAATCCGCTTCTAGAATTATTTTTCCTCAAACGTTTCTACTGTCCCGATTTCCAAAATACAGGTTCTAATTGCTTCACATAATGGTAAACGGGTGATGGGTGACGGTCATTTGCAATATTTTTATAGGAACTACTGACTCCAATTAGAGAAAGAAGAACTTGGCCTCTATAAAATTCAAAATTTCTTAATAAATATCTCACTTTAGATTTTATTTACAGATGTTAGGGATGATTTGGCAACGCATTGCGCCAGTTTTCAATCGATTTTCGATTTCGATTTTATTCAGGTCGTTTTTTCCTAATCAACTTGAACAGCACTTGAATTCATTGGTCTAAGCTTCGAGAGTATATTTCTGTTGCGAGATTTACACACACAAGTGCTAAATATTTAAATATCGACTTGATGAGAAGAAGTTTCTTCGTTTTCCTCAATGCATCCAAACAATTCTTTAGCGCGGCGTCTAATTCGTGGATTTTCAAAACAAAATAAAGCTCCTTTAACAGACATGCCTGATAGTCCCGCAGTAAGACTAATGAAATGGAGCGAAACTCCACTTAAGTAAAACGTGCGACTTCCAGCAAGATTTTCAGTGATAGAAATCAATACATAGGGAAGCCAGGAGCACGCATGAGCTACTATCACTAAACACATGGATTTTTGGATTTCTAGTTCCTCACCTCGAAGACATTTTCTCTTACAAATTTGAAACAGAGTGCTAGACTTTTGTTGGTATCTCTCAGGTTTGAAGAGTACAATGTCAAATAGGTGCGCGAAAAGTGATGCAGCCAGGGGTAGAAAAAAGAAAAATGTTAGCATATACATAGTATACCAAATGTTTGTAACTAAATCTGGAATACAAGACACTTCAGGCATGGGTTTCCAACCAAAGTTCTGTGGCAAACAAAGAAGTATTGATAAAAGCCATCCTAGTAGAATGAAGAAGTAAGAACGTTTTTCTGTAAATACACGTTCGTAGGCTTCATGTCCAACCAGTCCTGAGTGTCTATAGGCCGTTGCCAGCATGAGAAACAACACTGGGGCTATCAGTTCCATCAAACACATCGATCCATTTAGTTGGCATAGTATATCATTTCCAAATCTTTCATCTTGAATGACAGTCAGAATCCAAAATGGGATGGTAATGACTGTGGCTATGAGATCGATTAAGGTGCTCTGTAAAACAAATAGTTCGTAACCTTTCTTCGTCTTCCAATACTTACTTATTGCTACTACAATTAACAAATTGATTGTGAGAGAGGTTAAGCCGATAATTGTTAGCACAGATACGAAAGGAATAGCCACGTCCAATTGCAGCCGAAGCGGAGAATTGCTTTCTCGGCCCGTTTGATTCATAGTTCCGTTTGCGATACAGAATTCCAAATGTAAAGCATAACCACACAAGTAAGTTTGAGTATCATAACGATGGAATTATGTATGAATACATAGCTAAACAGCTTTTAATAGCTTATAACAGGTGGGTTTGACTAGAGGCAGGTGCCTCGGCACCGCGCCAAATCAAAGTCTTTTCGTCTAAGCTACTGATTGGCTAATAACAACAATCAATACACAACATAATGCATAACGTCATCGTCGTCATGGTAAAGAAAACGTTCCCGAAATACCCCACCACCAGGGGGACGAATCCTGCTCCCCTAATGGGCTTGTTTCAACCTTCCTTTTGTTACCTTTGTTAATAAAAAAATCTAATTAGCGCTGGTGAAAGACATTACCATCGTCACGAGAAACAAGCTGTTTTGTGTTCACTCATGTCTGCTCTTGAACACAATGCATGTCATGTAAAGAGTGTAAAATCACTGAACAATCACTTAGTCTTCGGTTGTTGTAGTTTTATTTACTTAGCTTAAAAATCCTTAGGTTTATGTGATGTATACTATTACATAGTAATTACGATTTTTGGATACATTTTCACAAATGAATACATTATCTGGATCAATTCTCATAAACAGAATTGACGTACATTTTTTGGCTAGAAGAATTTTATTGTTTCATGCACCTGTCTCCGTCATTACATCGAAAAATAGCTGYTTAACGATACGACACTTTTAAAAAGACAAAACCTTGAATCGTATTGCTACAATGCATGATTTTTCAATGAATATTCGCTCACCCAAAGCTGGTTTTTKAATTCTAAACTTACGCAATGAAATAACAATTGAAAAACCACTGCATACTTTCTTAATGAGATGGTTTCCTTTTTCTTTTCTGATTATGTTTTTGAGTGCAATGGAATCATAGCACATCTTCTTGCAATTAGGGCAACCGCAAATCTCCAGCTTACAGCTATTGTTCTCATTGTACCCAAATCTATCGATTTATATTATAAGTATACTGAAGTTATTTAATTTGTAGCAACTAGCGCTTGGCATAATGAGCTAAAGAAAAAAATACTTGGAATAATTGCTTACTTTATGTTTGATTCATGTGTGAGATGGACAACAATATTAGAATCACTTAAAAGTGAAGACGAAAAGAAGCGTCTAGGAGACAAAGTTCAGTGGTTTAGTTTTGTGAGAATAAGAGGAAAGATGAAGCAAATAAGTAGTTAAGTCATGACTCCCACGATCGAAGAAACTCTTAAGAGAAAAGATGTTTGACTATTTGTAAAGCTTTTTTATATTCCGCATCTTGTTGAAGTTCGTTGTCTATAATATCCCCCCAAAAAATGTAAGCTAACTTGTTTCACCAAGTACGTAAAAAAGCCTCAGTGAACTGTCAGTTTTTTTWAATAATTTTGCAGCAAAAAAAGTCTGTTTACGTGACACTAGTCGAACCGCACATCCAAGACACTCATTTCTTCTGGTTTTACTTTTTACTTATTAATGACAAAAACATATGAACATTTATAGGATACACTACAGATAAAAAAACACCGAACACGCAACGAAACAAATATATCTATATATGTTTGGCTCATTTATTATACAACGTGCTGCTGTATCTTTTCATTATCAAAATTCCGACGTAAATGTATTCTCTCTCTCTCTCTCTCTCTCTCTCTCTCATCTTTTTGTGGAAGATAGGAAGGTATCTATGCCGATCACTGCAAGATGAACAGCAAATTAAAGCAAAAATAACATCAATGTTTACTAAGCTTAGTATGACTTGTGTAGAAAGTACGTATCACCTCTTTTTGTCTCAAAAAGGGGACTTCCGGTAAAGTCAATTTTTAATATTATTTTTTTTACAACTTTCTAGAATCAAGCCGACATTCCTTTCTGTTTCTGTTTGCACTGATGGAGCTTGTTATTTTGGAATATCCGAAAGTAGTTGGTCAACCATCATTTTTTTACATTGTTTGGCGGTAAACCAAGTCACTTAGTCATCTAGCCACGAGTATAGCAGGATATTTAACTGACCTGACTGTTTCTCAAAAATCCTCAATAAATTATATTGTTTGGCATTTTGAATACGAAGTGGTTTGCCATGGAACCGAATGAACTGTTCCTTTCCCATAATAAAGCGCCAAAATTTAAAACAAACCTAATCAGTCCAGCCCCTTGCTTAATTTTTCTCTAACAGAAGGACTCCCGCACGCTTTTCCCCCACACATTGTACGACAGCTTTTCAAAATYATGATTTTTAATAATTAATGCATGTTACGAAGCATAATCCATATGATAGGTTGTCAAAACGAAGTAATTCTAAGCAGTAGAAAAATGTATAAATAATTGATTCCTGCAATGTTTGGTAGACTGAATAATTTGGGCCAAGGTAATTGGATAAGGAATGAAACCATGGCTTGATCAGTGCCGTTTTTATAGCTTGTTTCTGAGCTTCAGTTTCGACAGAGTAATTTTTTAATACTCTAATTTATRCTCTTTAAAAACTTTAGTCCCACTAAGAACATAAGCTTGAATAGTATCTGAAGAATCTAAACTGAGGACTGTTTTGCCGGACTTGATAACAATACTGAGCAAAAAAAATTTGCCCTTTTTTTTATCAGTTTAAACTTATGTCAGTTTTATTAAATGTAAGATTATGGATATCATGCATGTCTGAACGCAAAAGCCTCAAAGATACTATGTCAGATTTTTTGCACTTTGTTTTCTTCGCTTGTTTGTGTGTGCTTTTTTTTTGGTCTTGGATTTTTAGTAATTTTTGAGAAAAATTTATAAATTCGCCAGGGGACGCTTTCCATTTTTATCACGTTTAACGATTTTGAGCTCTGTTTTGTGACTATCCCTTTCAAAGAAGGAATTTGGGTTTAAATGCAGTTGTTTTTCATTGCTTTTAGGACGGGTGCAGCACTAGCCTGGTAACCCATGCATAGGCGTGGTTACTTTTCAAAATGGCTGCTTGAGACGGTTTCGATTCTATCAGGTGATAAGTTAACGAATAAGTAGCTCATTTCGCCAGTAACTTCATTTTATTGGTTTACAGGGTAAAAACTAAAAAAATATTGCATGGTGACGCATTTTACTGTACGAAAATTTTTCAGTTTTTGATTAAATTTTAGACTCCCGTCTCGGACATTAGACCAAAAAACAACATTTCATTTATACTGAAATACCACTTATCATGGGAAAAAATTGTTTATCAGGACAAACTGTATTTACTAACTCGAAAGCTCTGCAAATTACTTTAACTTAAGGTGGATGACTACTTCTCAACATTCGATATGAGCCCACGATTCAAGATTTTATTGAAGAACCATACACGTTTTGAACTTCGATAGGGCAAAACCCTCAAATTTTGCACGGGACTCTATACTTTTTTTCTGTTATTTTCCGTAATAACAGGTAATATCCCATTATTTTTCAAAGTTCTGTTTATCAGAACAATGTAAAAAATCGTTCTGTTTGTTCTGTGCTCACCGAATTTTTACAATAACTTGCACACCGTAGAACCTGAACAACAAAAAAAAAATTTTCCATCGTCTAGCTGTAAAAGCTTATTAAAACAACTTTTATCAGTATTTTATAAATATAGTGTAAGTTACGTGTTCGAAGAAAATTACTCATGTTTTTTCTTCCAAAATTGTACAAATACATGTCATGCATTCCGGAGTGATTATTTCAAAAACAAGCTCAGGACACCCATTTTTCTTTGCATTTTTTAAATCAGTATTAAATTTCAAGTTAAAAAAAGTTTCAATTTTCAATTTATTATTTACGAAAGTAGTGAGCCACCTTAACTGCAGGAGATATTTTGATGAAAAATCTGCTTCAAAGATCTGTTTTCAAAATATCAGTTAGACTGTTTGGAGGAGATATTAAGAAAGTTTAACTAAATATTTATAAATTATCAATATTAATAGCTATTCATTACACAATACTTCAGTTGAGACATGTGGCTATGATACGGTTTGTAATACATATTCAAGTTTATTGCGAGTGTATTTTGTGTAATTCATTAAATAATTAGACTGCATGGAGTCAGCTTGGCAGACGTTTAGATTACAGTTTTCAATTAAAGTTTAGTTTAAATTAAAACAAAACCAGATCCGAATCATTTTTTAGAATTAAGAAATGGTCATGTTTAGCGGTCCAGTTCTGGATGCACACGGGACGTTGCTTAAGCACGAAAGAAGCGTAAGAGTAGCACGAGGCAAGGCGACCTACGCGGCCGCTATCAGTGTCGTTACGTCGTAACGCTTACTCTCCTCTATTAACTATGCTCCCCYAAGCTGCTTAGGGGAGTAAGCGTTGCGTGACGACACTAATAGCGGCTCCGTAGGAGACTAGTCTTTCGTCTGCATAGAATATAATAACTTGAACGACCCTCTTCGTGGAACTTGGAAAAAAATATCGACTGCCGGGCACTTAATGCGTGCCCGGCAGTTTCTAATTTTCTGCGATTTCTCAACTTTAAAACGACTGAAGACAGCGTAGCCGGGGATCCTGGGGGTACCCTAGGGTATTCTTTCGTCTGGTAATTGCCATTAGTATCGCGTTCGGGCTGACTCCCCGTCCCTACCTGAAACCGCCCCGCCGCGCGCCGCACTATGACGCCTAGGCTATAAATGACGTCTGGCCAAGTTAATTAATTATCGGTTTCTTTAAGTGCCTTTTAGCTTTTTATTTATGAAAAATTATTTAATTTTTTCTTTAGGTAGCAAGGAGATCTACAACAGACAAAAATGCTCGCGCGATCGATTTGGGTTGAAAAGGGTTTTCTTTGTTTGTCTCTTCCAAGTCTACTTCTTCCCTTCGAGCGCCGCCATCTTGAAAAAAGCGAGAAGATAAGGCCCTGGGAACGAGGTTGAGCTTTATACCTTGCATCCTTTACGATTAGTAGCCATGCGCAGGAAAAGAGCAATAGATCTTTTTTTTTTCTCGCATGGGCCGAGGAAATTTACTGATTCATCTCGTTCTCTGAACGAACCGTTCTGGTATTATATCATCGTCCATGATAGGTTAAGCTGAGCTTAAAAGGAAGGAAGGAAGGAAGGAAGGAAGGAAGGAAGGAAGGAAGGAAGAAATACAGGGAGGGTGATGAAGAAAAAATAAGTGCTGGGTTTGACGGAACGATACAAGTCGGGAGGTTATAAACGAAATTAACTTAACGCACTCCATAAGATAAAGACCTAAGACGTCAATTTGCAAGTCAAATGAATGACGTGCTTCGCCTACGACACGACATTTAAACTATTACAGAATTCCCCTCTTTGAAATTAGAGGATTTGCAATTACAAATAACTCCAAGTAATAGAAACATTTTCAATAACTGCAGTTGCAATTACTCTAACAATAAAACTAACCAATCAAAAATGGCAAAGTTTACTAATTACTGTTTCTATGGTGAACGTCTTTAGAGGTTGCTATGACAACCTTAGAGGCAAGTTCAATACAGGTTTAATTTATTCAGAAAACACCAGAATTTGAATAGAGCTATCGTTCTTTGATTTAAACAGCGAAAAAAAGATATTTCAGTTGAATATTGTTGATACAGGATGCCGGAAAAGCCAGAGCCAGGTGGCCGTCGACCAGACCTTAATTCATATTTCTAACTGTTAACTGAGGGATTTACTGGTAATAGGTAAGTATCTTTAATGCCTTGAAMAGCAAGGAAAAAAGGCAATAGAAATCGCATGAAGAAATCACCCATGCCGTATTCGTGGTAATAGATCTAGATGAGATTTCTCATCATTTCCATGAAATATTTCCCATCTAAAGTCAAATCAAAGCCAAACTTAGTTTCTTCCCTTATCTTGATAAGTACTAAGTACGTGAACTAGACTGACAACTTCCTCTTTCTTTGAAGGAATCGACAGTAGTACAAAATAATGCCTTTTAGACATTTTGATAAGAATGATTAGAAACAATAGGAGCAATTCCATTTTCTAACTGTCAAAAACGAGCTTTATCGGCGCCTTTAACAACAATTTACTGAAGATCAATCGAATGATGAATGTCATAGAGAATTGAAAAAAATTGCACCTGACCTAGCTAATATGATTATGCATTTTCGCCGGCACATTGCATGCTCTTTTTACACGAAAAATTAATGCAAAAGGAAGTATCTAAAAGTTTAATAATAATTCAATTTTTAGGTACGTAAAATAGGTCTTGGCAGAGGGAGTTTTTAAAGCTAGCTAAGAGATGTTGGCAAAACTCTTGGTTCTACGGCCAAGGAGGAGTCGTCGTTCTTACGGCATGAGGAACTGTAGCAGTGTCGCTAGCCTTGACATTCAGGAAGTCGTGGTAAAGTATATCGAGTTCATTTTAATATTCACATTTCATAAATTCGTGTAGTGTTTATGTAACTCGTTTCATCAGTAGTATTGCGAAGAGAACTTGCATTTGATATCAGGTGATTTGCTGGCCGCTTGRGTTTACAGCACGTATATACAGCCGTTTGTTATCATACAGTTCAAAGCCTCACTTGCACCGGCTTGCTCTTATTTTACGCCTGGCTGTAAGTTTCGCTTACTACTGTAGTAGATAGGCAGCGGAGTGGTTTGAAAACATGCAAAATTTTCGGGTCCACCTGAATAGAACTCTTTCGAATTCTCTCTATATAACGGCTTACTATTTTTAGTCAACCCATAAAATAAATCTTTCATAGGTCCTTTTACTTTGATAATTTTTTTGTTTTAAGCTTTTTTAAATGTCTAAGTTTTTAGTGTATGTCTAACCACATCACTTTCGACGACGCTTTAAAGCCGTGTCACTTTCGACACAAAATTCCAAGTTAAATTTGTACCAAAAACGCTGCATGGAGTGCTCTGTCACCCAGGGCATAAACGGGACACCCAGGACAACACAGGCGCCTCAGTCCTAGCTCCTTATCGCAAAACGTAAAAATCATGCACTTGGTATCTTTTTCCTCTGTTTTAGTCGTTCTCCATACACAAAAAAGGCGAGTCAGAAAGAAAGTCGGGAGAGTGGGTTTTGATCTAAGAATAGCAACCTCGTTCCCAGTGTCCTCTCTGAATTCAAGATGGCGTCATGCATCTGACTTTTTCTCCTTGACACTTCGCCAAGTTTTTCGAAATTGTCTGGCGACTTTCGACTTTGAACCGTATATTTCTTCCTACACGAACCCATTCGACTCCCCTTTTATCAAATTGGTTAAATATCCTAAGCCAACATTCCTTGCCATCATTTTAATGAAAATTTAGTTCGTGTACTCTAACATCGGACGGACAGACAGACGGACGGTTGGAGGGACGGTTTTACGGAGATTCACACGGACAGACGGATGAAATAAGGGAAACTAGAAGGACAGACGCACCTGAAAATCGAATTGGACCTCCCTTCACTTTAGATTAATTGTGAACTTTCCAACCCGTGCAAAATTTGAATTTTCGGTAAAATAAAACTGAAACACTGCAAGGAAGTGGTAAATGAGGTCATTAATGCGTCTTTTTCTTTTCCGCATCTTTTTTCCGCTCTTTTTTGATGTTTTCCGTCAAAGTAGGCGGGTAAACGTGGGACGATCATAGCACTTGTAAATTAAAAATTTCATTTGATCGAGTTTCGTATTGAAATTGCCCACAGTTTCATAAAAGATAAATAAACACAAATTGTCTAAGGCATCAGAAGAGGAAGGGCCGGTCGGCTCTATCATATTCTTTTTTTTTTCTTCTCTCCACTAGAAACTGTGATTGAAATCAGTAATCCGATTCGAGCTCGTTTTGCTTTCCAAAGTGCCTTTTCCCAAAACTCATTGATAATTTCCGTCCAGCGATAAACTAAACCCTAGAGGGTTTGTTTGAATAATACGGCTGTGTATAATCTTGTTTTGAATCAATTGTTGATTTATATTAAAACGCCAGTTCACAAAGATAACCTTGGACTTTGTACGGCAGATTGCGTTGATAAACACCACCGGTAGTCTGGGAATATTTTTGTACGCTGAACTCGTCGGCGTACAACATACTAAGTCCGAAATGCATTATGGGCAAAGTGAATCCAAGCGGAAGGTCACAAAATATGGAATTTTACCAGACTGTCTGCACGTTTTTCCGGTATATTTTCTTCTGCGCTGACTCGACCGCGTATATTGAGTTGGTGAAGGCTATGTTGCATGTTGAATACCAAGTCCGAAATGCATTATGGGCAATATGAATTCAAATCGGCGAAATGAGGTCAAAAAATATGAGATTTTACCGAAATTTGTCTGCACTTTTCCCCCGGTATGTTAATTTCTTCTGCTCTGACATTATTTACATATAAAATATAATATATTTCAAGTTTGGTCAACAGCAAGCAGTATTCAACATGCAGTAAACGCTTCACCAAACTTTTTTTTAAAAGCTGTATAAACGAGCTTCACTTGAGAATCAAACTCTTAAGTAGAATATTTGATTATCGAAATTTTTAAGGTGTTAATTTTAAGGGCGGGTAGGGAGGGAAGTTCTGTCCGACCCGCGGGGAACGGTTTCTTTTTCGGGTCTCGTAGGTCACGTGCTCGGTCCCATTCCTCCAGTGTAAGGAAGGGAAGTTGCAACCCAAAAGTAATGTTCGAATGGAGTCGTTATGGAAGACGTCACATAGATCCGAAAAATGTCCAGAAAATATAACCCATAGAAAAAAACCCAGCTAATGCCTGATTTGTAATTGGAATACTTTGTGTTTTTCAAGCTTAAGGGTGCAAAATCGACGGAGATCATGTCTGAAGGAATGAATGATCTGCTGAATCAACTTCAAATGGTGCAGCAAATGATTGATATATCTGCCTCCAAGCTCAATAGTCTACGCAATGAGGGAGCCACCGACACCAACCTTATTCAGCAAGAAATACGGACTGTTGAGGTATGAGATGGTTTGTGTAGAATCCAAGACGACTTAGTCGAGCAGCGAGACGATACTCTGACTGGCTTGCGTGAGATTATTCCTCGCCAAACCAACCCTGTGGTTTTATCATGCCCTTGACAAATCGTGACTGAATTGAAGTTTTCTTTTATCTTTTTTTCGTTTGTTGTTGTATTCCGAAGCATGTGGAGTCGTTTTTTCACTTTTATTCTGACAAACGACTGACATACTTCAAGGGATTAGAGATCCTGGCTTGTTACTAAGCACTGTGTGTATGTTTATGCATTTATCATCTCTTCATTCCTGAACGCTTTCAAAACTCCTTATTCAACCTAGATTCTCTTCAAAAATTACTATTTCTTACGAGGATCATACAAGTTATTCGAACTTCAACACCTCTTGACTAGCTTTGGAAGAAATTTTTCCTATAATTTACACATTTTTGACGCATTTTAACCTGAGTGTGAAAATCACAAAGAATCAACTGGTTTCGTGTCTAGAAAATAAGTTCTTTATTCTTTTTAAAACCACGTAATTCCTCCAGATATTATGCCTCTTCATTTGATTCTTCGAACGTTTTAAAACCCAGCATAAAATATAAATGCTACAGAAGACACTTTACGTTCCAACGAGTGAATATTTTTATTTTTTTCAGGGGAAATTAGTAAAGCTGTTCTCACGAATGTTGGTAGCTAAACAAACTATAAAGAAAGATGGCGTTAATTTACAAGAAGTAAAGAAGTATCCAAGCTTAGTACAGTGGCTACAAGTCGTAGGAATCAACCGAAATGCCATAGAGGTAAGCTTTTATAGCTAAACTTTTCAGTACGTAAATTATACGCTTCCTCTTAATTGGAATAATATGCGGATTAGTTTATTATAGACTCAACGCGATTCGGCATCGCTTTACTATGATTGCATGTCGAACTCGACAATAATTTTAAAAATACCCCGGCGATCGCGATAGGAAATATTATTTTTTTAGTGCTTAATCTACTGGGTTTTCCTCGTAGTTTCAAGGTAGCAGGATTCTTCGTTTTACGGGAATTTACGGTTGGACAATATCAATATATTGTGTTCGATTCATTCAAGTGTTTCAAGAATTATGAAGATCTTGTGTGAATATTGTTCTCAATTGTGTTGTCTTGTCGGAAAAAAATGTTTTTGCTTTGAATGACAGAACAGACAGGTCTGAACATCCAGGCTTTAGATGTAAATAGTATTATCTTTTGAAAAGATCTAGCAAACGTTTCGAAAAAGGAATTACTCATTTCGAAGTTGAAATAACAGACAAGATATCTATTGGCATATCTACAAAGACCCAGAAGTTTCTTTCTAAGTATCTACATTATTGCCTAATAAACGAAAAAAATGAAAGCGCAAAAAATATTTTGATAGACATTTGGGAGAATATTATAATTTATGAGATATATTTAATCTAAACAACACCTTGGGATTTTTTAGATATGAATATAAATATATAAAGGAATGATTTGAGACTGACCAGGAAATCTTTAACTATTGACCTCGAAGTCAATATTCATGGATTAAATGGTTATATATGATTATTGACAGAGGTATAAGTGCTTTGTTCATGATCTCCATACCAGTCTTTGATGCCAACAAAGAGCAGAATTGTATTAAACACTTCCTGTAGGTGCAAATATTATACCTTTCACTATACCTCATATAGTTATACCATGCAAATTGCATAAATACAATTTTTATTGATACTTTGAAACAACCTCTGGGCTTTTCTAAGCCAGGGTATATGACTAAATTCACAGATTGAATTGGAATTTATTATAGTAGTTTTTGTGGAGGGAGAGACAGACCAAGAAATCAACAAAATTTTAAAAATTTTACTAAATGTAGCCAAAAAAACATGCATTGCTATATTTATTTTTAAGTCAATCACTCAACATGTTATAATGGAATGTAATATCCCATATTATTGCTAAAAATATGTTAGGTATATTCATGTCGTATTTCAGGTCTGCAGTGATTATTAGTGGTTATTTTTAGAATCTTCAAAAACTATATGTTTTGTTTTAAGTTCCATCTTCTATATGCAGATTGGAAAAAATGGTTATCAATTTGAGGCTAGTCTAGCCTTGATATGATTTCATCAATACAGTGTGTGTTACCATATGTGACTCAAAATCTCTTGAGATATGAATAACAAAACAGTCTCCATCTTGGTTGATCTAACAAGAGAAGCTAATGAGGAATGCTTTGTTATCGTCAACCAAGATGGCGGCAATGACGTAACATGCACCTGTTCTATTGACACCAAATTTCCTTTTAATAACAGTCATATTATTGAGTAATTACTCAGTGATATAAGTTATATTATCCTATTGTTATATTGAACCAATTGCATATACCATGGTATATATATACTACATAGGCTAGTAGTACACTCACTTCTCACCATGATGTAGAATTTGGGTACCTGCGTTTTGTTTAGAAGCAAGGTTGGAAGTTAGGTCCACTCGACTCTCACCTCTAGATCTGTGGTATATCTAGCTTGTTTCCTGACCCACTAATTTTAAGTTTAGGGACTCAGATTTAATTTAATTTTTCTCATGTGTTTGTTTATTTTCTTGATAGTTCCTTTGTTTTTTTAATAATGTGATTATTCAAATTGAAAAATATATAGAATGGAACTATTATATAGTGTAACATACAATTATATATACCTTTAAAGAACAAGTTATATCTCTAGTTTTTTTGTTTTGAATAATTTATTAATCTGACTCGATGCCTATCAGGACCCTCTGTCATATCAATAATCAGTTTATTGACATGATATACAGATGCCCCTTAGACTTTACCCTGCAGGAAGTTATTTTAGTTGATGTTTATCAGTGGTTTAAAAGTAGCTTGCAGGCATTTAGAGCTCTGTTTTGCTTTATAAGCCCTTAAATGTCTGGGATCAGTAGATGTAGATTGTACTTTTATCAAGATAAATTTTTACACAACCGCTGAGCAATCTGACTAATTTATTCATGAATACTGAACATTTACTCTATGACTTTTAAATCATTCTTTAAATAAGCCATTGGCTTTGTTTGGCAATTTAATTTTTCTAGGACAGTTTGTTTGAAACAACCAAGGTCACTGAAGGTTTTCTTTATATATAAATAGAGAGAAGTAAAATGTCCTTAGTTTATTTATTTATTTTTGGTCAAAAATAAACCTGCATGCAACAGGATTTAACAAAAAAAAAAAAAAAAAAGGAAAAAATAATATAATAATATTTATTAAATATATGCCTTGTCTTTGATTAGATTAGATGAGAGGTTATTTCAATGTATCGATAACATTTGAATCAATAAAAAAAAAAGAATAATAACAAAAGTGCTTCTTTCAATTTCAGCAACTTACGAAGAAATGTGGCTCAGTAGAAGGATTGTTGTCCCTTGCAAGTGATAAAGTGAATAGTATACTTGATGGATACATTACGGGAGAAGACGAAAGCAGAAGACTGCTGTCAGCTTTGCAGCATCTCCATGCTTATACAGGTGTGTTGTCATATCAACAAAAAACAGATTATATTGCTCCATTTAGCCACTGGTAGAAATATCTCTAGCTGGATCACTTTTTCTATTGCTGAAAAATCACTTCAGATTAGTTCCTTTCTGATTTAATATCAATGATCTAGTGCAACAACAAAACGTGTTATGAGGGTATCTTAGTTCCACCCACCCCCTCTCAGTAGAATGTGTATGCTGCACTCCATATTAGCCATTCTGAGTTTGAGGAAAAAACTTGGGTTGAGTTAGCATTGCAGTGTATTGTGGGGCTGTTTGGGGGAGATAGCTGAGTGCTTCTCAACACTACTTGAGTCTTCTGCCAATTGCTGAGTGCTTTATGACTTTACACAGCACAGCACAGCTCAGCACCGCACAGCACAGCACCGCACAGCACAGTACAGCAAGCAAGTTTTTATTTTGTTTCATAAAATACAAATTAGATTAACCATTTCTTGGAATAATGAAATAGAAAGTGTGCTGTGTGCTATCATAATGTACATAATGCTCTCAACCAATCAGAACATAAAATTTCTAACAGCTATTTAATAATATGATTAACATATCAATTCAACTTGCAGAAAGACAAAAACAAGGACACAAAGACAGTACATCGGATATCTACTGGGATTCATGGGAAACAGGGAAAAACAAAGTAACCTCTACATCAGCACGGTCATCACGCTCATCAGCAACATTCGAATCTGATGATGCCTTACCACCATCGCCGCCAAGCTCAGATGCAGATACTGATGCATCAAGACTCTCAGCCAGTGATATATCTGATGTTGCCCCTAGTCCCAAACATCAATCCAGACCTAAAGTCCCTATCATATTCCAAAGTCATGCTTCAAGCCCGCTGAAGAGAAGCAAATCAGATGAAGTCAACATTGGTAAGCAAATTAAAGTTGGTTTGATGGTTCAATAGATCTAGACCTAACGTTTGGCTTAATGTTTTCCCCATTTCAGACCATGTGCCATTCCCTTGAGAATAAGATGGGTTGTATCCATATCATATTTGTGTCTTCTCATGATCATGTCCAGTCATTAAACCAAGAATTGATACTCTTGGGAATGACACATGGTCTGACATAGGAATAGGAGTAAGCATGGAGTAAAAGAAGGCCTGTTACCATATAATCTGATATAATGCTGATATTGATATATTTTGGGAAGCACGGGTGGCGTAACRGTGTGAGTGCTCGCTTCTCATCAATGCGACCTGAGTTCAAGTCCTGCCGGGTTCGGTGTTGTATATGAGTAGAGTTGTTTGTTGGTTCTCTCCTGTGCTTCGAGGGTTTTCTGGGCTCTCGGGTTTTCCTCCCTCCACAAAAATCAACTCCTAAATTCCAATTCGATCATGGAATGAGGGCCACAGGTTTGTTAGCTACTGGCTATTAAGTGCTACTCTCGTGAAAAAAGGACTTTTTTAGTGTTGATGATTATTATCATAACCGAAAATATATGTGTTTGGGGATTTCAGTTCTTTATCTAGCTTTCTGTTTGTTACAGTATACAAATTTTTGGTTTCCTCTTCCAGATAACAAGGTTTTCATCGACAAAGGCAGTTCAACAGTAGGCAAATGCCGAGGCAAAAAGTTGTCACCTGTAGTCCCCCTGTCAATAGAAATACCAAAGAGTGTTAGTGGTGATCAGCTGTCACTACAGTCAGACTCTGACTCAGAAAATCAAAGGAGTTCTTGTAAGTACTGGAAATATTCTCTCCTCTCCTCTCCTTTTTTCAACTTGATTTCCTCTCGTCGATTTGAATTCCTCTTGTCAAATTGAATTCACTGGATAACTCAAGTTAGTTTGTAAGATCTATTTGATATATTTCAGGGGCCGCAAAGCAACCTAAAAGTGGGGGGGGGGCTAAGATTGAGACTACTATGGAAAAAATAGCTAAGATTGGAAAATATAAGAGGCTGGTAGGGAAAAAGGGAAAAAGTCCCCCCTGGATCCGCGGTCACTGTATTTACTGCCTTTTTAAAACTTTTGTATTCCCCTCATGTGGACATTTCAATTCATCCATATATCAATGGTTCTGATTCAGTGTTGTTTCATTCAAGGTTCCTATGGATCAAGTTCTCCCAAGACTCCCACAAGACATGTCATGGGACACAAGATAAAACACATGTAAGGAAGTCTTGAGAAATGTTTTGTAAATAATCAACACCCAGTGTGCTATACATTAAAATTTGGTAGGATTTTTTGGGGGGGGGGGGGGGGCAAGCAAAAAATATGGCATTAAAGGGGGCCCACCCCCTAAAAAATTGATCCTGTTTTAATAGGTGGCCATGTAAAAGAATTCAGGTTTTGAAGGGATCATACATTTTTTACTTACAATCACAAAAGCCCACCCCCCTCCCCACCAGCCTCCACCCCACCCATGCATGTAAAAAATGAGCTCTAATAACATAACTATGTTTGTCATACTCAAAAAGCTCCTTTGTTATAACATGTTTTTTTTATAGATTTTCTCAGAAAAAGTTCATGGTGAGTCGGTCTTGTGATTATTGTCACAAGCTCTTGCTGAGTGGAGTGAAGTGCAAAGCCTGCAAGTAAGTGATTTGTGTACTTAATAACACTATCCCCCAGGGGCAGATCCAGGATTTTGTTCAGGGAGGGGTGCTGTGCACTGGTGAACTCCTTAGAATCAAAGAGAAAAAGAACACCATTTTGTATTGGTTATCTTCAAAGTACGGGCTCAAAGTCAAACCAGGGAGGGGTGTGGATTTGCATACCTCCCATGAATCCGCCCACTCTACTCGCATGTGACACCGAGTCTGGGAGTTAAACCCGAGACCTTAGAGCTGAGAAGCGAGTGTGTACCACTACGCCACCCTTAATTCACCAACAATGGCTTAGCAATAGCAGCAACATGTTGAAAGTTTTTACTAAATTCCCTTTTTATGTTCCGTTTTCAGATATAAATGTCACAAAAAATGTGCTAAACTGGCACCTCCGTCGTGTGGGTTACCCAAGGATTTCCAGGACTACTTCATTCAAACTATTCGGCGAGGTACCTGAAGTGATTTTATTTTATTGATTAAACRAGTCTTAGTCAGGGACTTGAAACGTCTATCTTTCGCTCGATGGCGCATCGAGTTTTAAATTTATTGCGCTATACAACTTTAAATTTAAATAAAGAATTGGCAATGTGTTTCCAAGACCGGAAATTTTTTCCTAGTGGCATTTTAACCAACAGTTTTAGTTTTCTTGGCAGTGCCGTTAAGCGAAAATTCATCATCACAAATTGAAAACGTGTAATTTTTATTTGAACTAAACGAGCGCAGTGGTTATGAGCCTTTACTTCGGGAGACTGAGCAACTACTCTCTGCGTGATAGATGTAGAGTACTTCGCATTTGGTCCTCGTAACATCAGCTCTAGTTTTGTATTCACTCTCTTGAGTATTATCTCTTTTCTTCGGTAAATCATAGGCCGGAGTACTTAATTAAAGGTACTTTTGAAACCTACTCTAGCGATTTGTTTGGTTGACGGTAATCTACTACGATTTCCTTTCGTGACTGTTGTCTGTTGAAAAAAAGTGGTATTTCTTTTATACCACAGTATTTATATTCCTGTCATTCTTATCCTCGTTATCTTCACGTATTGCAGGCTTCGAATACCGTTCGCTACCAATCATCAAGTCCCAGTTCAAGAGAACCAACTCGGAGCCATCATGTATCGCGCATCAGGTCGGAGAAATGGTCCGAGGCAATCAGAACCGAATCCAGAACCGAAGCTATGGAGATCTATACAGCGTGGACAATAAACAGGGCGGCCATTACAACAATAATTACAACCACGCTCATGATCATGGTAGCGTTGATTCGGGATCTACGTCATCAGCGTCATCGCCTCCTTCGTCTCCTGTTTGGTCCACAGGGGGGAGGGCTGAGTACACGCCCAACCCTCCATCCCCCTCTGAGGAATTGGATGGTTTTCCGAGTCAATTGAACTTTTGTTATCCAAATAGATGTAAGTATGAAAACGTAAGGTAGCTTAAATTATTAAGCGAAATTTTGCATTCTGATTGGCTATTCTACAATAGGTCTGTTGGTGCTATCCCACTGGTAGAGAGCTATTCACTATTTAGTATATTAAACAAACTAGTGAACTATTACAAATCCTGCATTCTGATTGGCTATTCCACAATAGGTCTGTTGGTGCGATCCCACTGGTAGAGAGCTATTCACTATTTAGTATATTAAACAAACTAGTGAACTATTACAAATCCTGCATTCTGATTGGCTATGCTACTATAGGTGTACTGACGACTCTTAAAACTCCCTGCATGTGGGATTAATCCAGGAGTTGTTTTATTATTCTAATTTTTGCTTTTGTTAACCGACCTCGGATGTTAGGCTAAGCCCGCATACACTGGAGTTTTAAGAGTGGTCAATACTAGTGTATAGTGATAGTACACTGTAGCAGTCAAAGACGACGGATTTGTTTTCCCCTTGTTTTGATTGGCTGCTCTGTGATTTATTGAACGGAAGCCATTTGAGTGGTATGTTATTTACGTAAGCTGGCCTACAGTACCAATAGAGATAACGACGAGATTAGCTATTTACGATATAAAAAAGGCTCAGAGATTAGAATTTCAAGTTGGTTTTGACGTCGTTTGAATCTCAAGAACACAAACAGGAAAGCTGTTTTTTTTTTAATCACATCTTTCCTGCTAATAGAGTGGTTCTCGTGTGAATGGGAAACGTACGGTACTGACTTACAGCACGTACACGGTACGATATGCCGTAACATTGAAATGGCTTCCCATAAGAATGGTTATCGAATGATTGGGAAACGTACGGTACTGACTTACATCAC